TCCTAACTTGTGTTCCAGTGGGTGATGGGAATCAAAATGCAAATACTGGTCTGTGTGGGTGGGTTTGCGATACACATCTGTGTACGTGTATGACGGACATGGAAGGAGAAGTCACACACAAGACAGGCCCTGGAGAAGTGTGGTTATCCTAATTGGGCTTTTCTGAAAGCAGACAAGAAACCCAAACAGGATTCCAGCCAACAACCAGCTGAAAATGAAGGCCCTAAACCMAGACCCAAACCAGTTGTCATTCCATATGTTGCAGGAGTTTCAGAGAATCTGAGACATTTATTCTCTAAACATGATGTCCCAGTGACTTTCAAACCCCAAAACACGTTACGACAAAGATTAGTTCATCCCAAAGATCCAGTTCCCCAGCAAAAACAGAGTAATATAGTATGTGCTGTTAAGTGCCAGGAGGACTGTGATCAGTCATACAGTGGGAAAACAAAACAGCCACTGTTCAAAAGAATGAGCCAGCACAGACGAGCTACATCTACAGGCCAGGAGTCAGATTTATAAAGGATTGCGTGGAAACCATACTAAAAGTGAACGTACAGCCAAAAGGCRAAAATGGCGTATGCCAAAAAATAAATTCTTATTTAGTATAAACTGTGCATTTGCACGCTTCATAAATCCGACCCCTGGAACTCTGCAGTTAACACTCACATGCAGGCCAGTGGTCGCTCTTTCAGGGATGAAGATGTTCTCATCCTTGATAGAGAGGAACGTTGGTTTGAGAGTAGCCTGGTAAAAACCAGACCCTTGTCCTTCACTTTGCTTCACACAAGGGTCTGGACTCTCAGCTATAGAGAAGAGATTCTTGCTGGTGGCGTGGCCTCTGTTGAAATTTAAAATGATTGGCTCTGTTGGCCGCGACGCATGCATGCCAGCTCCGCTGTGAAGGAGGCTAAGCTAAGAAGCTAACCGAAATCGCGTGCACTGTAAACAACCCTACTGAGAGGAGAAAAGTACCGAGCCGAACAATGCTATTGTAAATGAGGGTTGCTGCTTTGTCAGACAAATTTAATTTAATTTGGAAGCCTTATCAACACGGATTGGCTTCATTCACTTCCTCCACTGCCGTATGCTAAAATAACTAGCAGACACTGCACAGAAAATTGACATCTTTCAAAACTCCACCTTTTGTTTTCTGATTGGCCCAGGTAAAATAAACTACAAGCAGACACTGCGCAGAAAATTGACATCTTTCAAAACTCCACCTTTTGTTTTCTGATTGGCCCAGGTAAAATAAACTACAAGCAGACACTGCGCAGAAAATTGATGTTCTRTTCTCTGATTGGCTTTTATGGCATCATTTGTTGGAGCAGCAGCTTATCTACAGCTGAGAGGAAGCAGATGGATAAGCTCATCAAGAAGGCCAGCTCTGTGATGGGATGCCCCCTAGACCCAGTGCAAGTGGTGGGAGACAGAAGGACTCTGGCAAAAATAGCATCAAAGACAGAGAATGTCTCCCACCCAGTGCATGGAACTGTGGCTGAACTGCACAGCTCCTTCAGTGACAGATTGCTGCATCCTAAGGAGCGTTACCGCAGATCATTCCTCCCATCAGCTGTTAGACTCTACAACTATCACTGCTCCCAACAATCTCGATAAGCATCCATGTTTGTGTGTGCACATCAAACAACTCTACCTCTCTATCATTACATAAATGTGGCAATCGTACATCTTTTCCTGTACTGGAACACTAACTTAATGACTAAGTCCCTCAATTTGCACATCCCCTTGGATCAGGAGTCTATCATGACTGTTTTTTAATAAGACAATATTGAGTTCTGTACATCTGATACACAAAACAGCATTAAATGTTTATCTCTGTGCAAAGTTTAACCACAACTTAAAACCCACAAAGGTACCTGCAGATAAATATTATGTCAATGTCAATTTTATTGTTAAAGCTGGACGTGGAGATGAACATCGTAGCAGATTGCTCATGATCAACAAATGGCTTATTAAAATATGCTCTGCCAGCTCAGTGACTTACATTGACAACCACATAATCTTCTGGGAACATTATCGCCTTTTCATACAGGAAGAAAGTCGCTCTTATTCAAACTGGTAAAAGACTTTTCACTGCTAATCTCTTCAACACTGTTAACGCCAGGCCTCAAACACAGGACAATGTAAACAATGAGATCACTGTACTAGCAAAGATTGGAGCAGGACAAGCACAAAGTCAGCAGGTGCAAACTGTTCCAAAACAAACTGATAGTGACTTTTCAGCTGAAAACATTGCTGATGAGGGCTCCACTGCCCTAATTCCTTCAACATCTAGTGGGAGACCAAACTATTCATCGGAGCACAGGCCGCTCGGCACACCAACTGAACACAGAGCTGTCCAGACAGCTCTCTGACCGGCTCCGCACCCCTCCCCAATCCTGCTGCAACTACTGGATCAGAGGCCTCATCTCATCAAGGCCAGGAAAGCTCATCAGAAATTTTGTCACCTGAACTGATGTTTTTTGACTTCAGTGAGAAACTGGATCGTCACTTTCACTGGGTACTTCTCTCCTGAGCTCCCAAAAAGCATGTTTCTCAGACAAAATTACTCATTTTTCTAGAGCTTCTGACAAACATGATTGAATGACGTTACTCAATCACTTGTATTAATTGAATCAGCACCTCCAAACTACAATTTTTTACGTGAGAATAGAAAACATAAAAGAGGAGGAGGCGTGGCCCCTATATATGAAGTTTAAAAAACAAAACAACTTTGCTGACATCTTTCTTTTTTTTATTTTTTTATTAAACCACTTTGTTATGCACAAAAGGTTTAGGACTACTGGTTTAAAAAGCAATGAAAAACATTTAAAAATATTTTTCTTTTTTCTTTTTTTTTTTTGTTGAATTAGTTTCCTGCTAATAAAGAACTTTTACCAATTTCAAAATAGTATCTCAAATATGTTGCCTTAAAAAATCTTGTATCCAACAAAAGATCTTAAATGGTGCTAAATTAGTTGAAGAAATGAAGATTTTTTTGTTTGTTTTATTTTGTTTTTTCACATCATGAACAGATATTATAATCAATAAAATCCAGGTCACTGACTCCAGAATAATATCCTGGGGTCCAGAGGTTTTGGACTGGTCCATCAGGAATGTGTAAAACTCTCTGCTCTGCTTTAAACTGAACAAATGTTTCTAAGAAGAAAACGTTTGGACAGATCTCCCTCTGCAGGATCAAAGCAGGAAAGACTCAGCACTGTGCAGAAGTCTTGAGCTGCTTCTTATTTATTTATATGTTCCTCGAGGAGAAGACTTTCTTGTAATTTAAAAGTGGGTACTGACTAAAGTGTCAGTGAGGGTCTTTAAAATTGTTATTGGACACTGAAAGATTAGTTTTAGTTTTATTCATTTATAAAGCACCCTTCATACTAGAAGCAGCTCAAGGTGCTGTACAAAATTATGCACAATAAACAAACCCATAAAAAACAGCAACAACAATACAATAAAAACAATGATTAAAAAATGTAATGATCAGAAAAAAATTCAGTTCAACAAATACATTTAAAAAGATGTGTCTTAAGCCATGCTCTTAAAGATTGCAACACTCTCTGCAGCCCTCACATTTTCAGGCAGACCGTTCCACAGACKAGGGCCATAGTATTAAAAAGAAGCCTCTCCGTATGTGTGTGTTCTGACTCTTGGAACTGTTAATAGTCCAGTGCCAGAGGATCTTAGGGTTCATGGCGGTTCATAGGGCAATAACAGTTCAGCCAGATGAGGTGGCACAAGATGATTAAGACATTTAAAAACCAGTAAAAGGACCTTAAAATCAATTCTAAGATGTACAGGGAGCCAATGCAATGATTTTAAAACAGGTTTAATATGAGCCTGCCTTCTGGTCTTGGTTAGTACACGAGCAGCGGAGTTTTGCAACAGCTGCAGACTAGACAGATTTTTCTTGGGAAGACCAGAAAGCAGTGCATTACAGTAGTCTAATCGACTAGAAATAAGAGCATGTATCAAAATCTCAGTATTGGCCAAGGACAGAAGAGGGCAGACTCTGGCCATATTTTTCAAATGATAGAATCCTGTTTTGACAGTCTGTTTAATACGTGGAATAAAAGTAAGCTCAGAATCAAAAAGAACCCCCAGACTTCTGACTTGTTTGGAAGGATGAAAAGATGCAGCTTGTAATTTTGAAATTGTCTTTTCATTTTGATCCTCCGGTCCAATAATTAGAACTTCTGTTTTGTCTTGATTAAGCTGGAGAGAGTTCTGAGCCATCCATGCCTTTATCTCAGAAATACATTTAAGAAATACAGCAATTGGCTGGGGGTCATCACGAGACATGGAAATRTATAGCTGCGTGTCATCAGCATAACTGTGGAAGCTTATTCCATGACTCCTGATGATCCCGCCCAGCGGCAGCATATACAGATTAAAAAGTAAGGGACCTAAGATAGACCCTTGGGGGACACCATAGTTGGCCTCATGGACCTGAGAGGAGCAACTATTCATATTTACTAAAAAAAAAGATCTATCTAAAAGATAGGAGCTGAACCACTGCAGAACAGTACCTGAAAGGCCAACCAAATGTTTTAGTCTATTTAAAAGAATTTGATGATCAACTGTATCAAAAGCTGCACTCAGGTCCAATAACACAAGGACTGAAAGTTTGTGTGAATCCAGATTACACCTTAAATCGTTTACAATTTTTAGTAGGGCTGTTCCTGTACTGTGATTTGTTCTAAAACCAGAGTGATACTTTTCTAAAATACCAGTGTCATTTAAAATTTTATTTAATTGAATAAACACAAGTTTTTCTAAAATTTTGCTTTAAAAAGAAAGTTAGACGCAGGTCTGTAATTGTTATTATATTGATAGCTTATTTAGTCGTGTTCAACACAGTATATTTTACCTTTTCATTTTCAGTGTAAAATACTTTTTATTACCATATTTTTAAATTGTTTATTTTAATGAGAGGAAGATTTTTTAAAAAAATTTTTTATTCTTTCAATGTACTGAACCATCAAATTTTAGAATTCCTACTGGGTTTCATTATTTTTTTACAATGACAGTTAATGCTTCCCATCATTAGTTGAAATAGTTGCTGCAGGTTTTTGTACAGCTGCTCCACTGACTTCAGTCACTGTGGAWCTCGAGCACAATAATAAACAGCAGAATCTTCAGTCCTCAGATTGTTCATCTGCAGAAACAGCTGCTCTTTGCCGTTGTCTCTGGAAGCAGTAAACCTGCCTCGAACTGACTGAGAGTAGTAGGAAATAGTATTATCATGTCTGGAAGTTGCAATCCACTCCAGTCCTTTTCCAGGAGCCTGTCTGATCCAGGCCATCCACCAGCTGCTGAATGAGAGTCCAGATGTTGTACAGGTCAGTGTGTGGGGTTCTCCTGGTCTTTTAACCACTGATTCAGACTGTGTCAGAGTCTGACCAGAGACACCTGTAAATATAAGAAATAAAATGATTTGCTTAAAGACAGTAAATAAAACTACAAYCTTATTTGACTGAATCAGTAAAACTCATGAGATAAGTGACAGTCTCTACCTGCCCAGCAGAGAGTGAACAGCAGCAGTCCTGTTCTGTAGCTCATCATGTTGACCTTTGTCCTCTGTTCTGTCGACTCTCTGCTGTCAGATTAGAATTAAATCGTCTCTGAGTTTGCATTCTGCAGTTTGACTCCTCCTCCATTAAAAAAAAGGTTTAATCTCTRGCTTGGTGAAATTAGAATAAACTCACAAAAGCTGAAATCATTTAGATTTATGGTTCTTTTTCAAATGAAAAGTTGGTTTTAATAATCATTACAATTTTATAATCGTAATGTTTGTACTGAAAAGCAGAAGCAACAATCACTAAGCAAAAACTGTGTTTGGGGCAATAAAATGTAATTTAAAAAAATCTGAATCAAAACAAGAAGGTAAATAAATCTACAATTTGTTTTTCTGATGAACTGCTTCACAAATAATGAAGAGGAAGTGTTGTAGCAAGACACAAAAGAAGCTGTAAATGACTGATGAAACTTTGGAATTTTTCATATTTATATTTGTTTATTTATCAAGAAGACTTTCAAAGATGATCCTGAAACTTTTACTTCATTTTCAACCGAAGTATTTGTTTTTTGTTTGATGTTTTTATTCCTGAGACATAAATCAAAAATACATATGTATAACTTATCATCTGGCTAGAACACGGTCAAAGAATCACAAATGTTGTGGGTAAAGATGAATAACATCTAGAACATGTTTAAAGTATCATAAATGTGTTTTAAAAGGTCAAGTTGAAGCAGAGAAAACATCATGAGATTCTGTCAGTTTATGTTCAGCTGCTGCTCTGTCTTCAGTCACTGTGGCTGTCGAGCACAGAAGTACACAGCAGAATCCTCCACAGAGGCAGCATTTATCTCCAGGTACTGAGTGCTGCTGGGGACATCTTGAGTAAAACTGAACCGGCTCTGAAATGAGCTGCTGTAGATGGGAACACTTATCACTGTGTTTATCCATCCCATCCACTCCAGAGCTTTCCCAGGTTTCTGTCTGATCCAGTTAATGCTGTAATCAGTCATTGTGTAACCTGATGTGACACAAGAGATCCTCACAGTTTCTCCTGGTCTTTTCACCTCAGAGGGAGGCTGCTTCAGTCTGATCTCACTCCAAACTCCTGTAAGAAACACAAATTAATACCTTCTTTAAAAAAAAAAACATATGTGTCAGCTGAAAGATTTCTACATTACCATGAATAAAAACTACAAACAACAAACTCCTGGTAAACAAAAGTTCCTTTACATCCATGATGCACACTAAAGTTCAGCTGACTTTGTTAGATTTATGATGTTCTGTCTGTTGTTCTCCCTCAGATAATCAGACCATCACTGGTGATGTCTTTAAAAAGAATATGAAGATAAAGTTTGCATAGAGCTCTCTCTGCAGGTTAAAGAGGGAACTTGACGAAACAACTGCGTCTACCACAAACTTCCTGWTTGAGGTTTGAACACATGGTGTACAATAACAATGTTAACAATAGTGATTTTACATTTCAAAACATGCTGTTTGCTGTTAAAATAATTCCCAATATGGGTTTGTTTAAAGGTTTGATTTAATATTAGGCTAAATAGAAATCCCTTCTTGAAGCTGTGATTAGTTGTTAATGTTGTCTTTTTTATCCTGTGTGTGTTTAAACATTTGATTTATCATGGCTTTTAGCCACACCTATAGCTTGATCTCAGATCAGTGTGTGTTCTGATGAAGTTTATAGAAATACATATTTAGTCAAAAAAGACGCCACGTTAACTCCATGATAATTTTTTTAATCTGTGTTTTGCGGTTTAGCTCAGCAGCAAAATAACTTCAGTCTCATCGTATTGTTTTTGTCTGGAGTCTGTTGTAGTTGTGATACATTTAAAAGCTTTGTTACAAAAGTAATGTTAGACATAATGGTTGGATTTTTGGTAAAGCAGTGAGTGATACAAGTGCTGCACAACACAAAACCAACAACGGCTCCTTCCTGTGGTTCTAAACAGAGGAAGTAGTTTTTGTTTGACTCCTCTGACACTTTGTCTCACTGTGTCTCTCGGGCGCAGTAATATACGCCTGAGTCCTCAGTCTTCAGGTTGTTCATCTGTAGATAAACTTTACTGCTGGAGTCATCTCTGGTGATGATGAATCTCCCCCGGACTGAATTGGAGTAATAGATGGGAGTACTAGAGGTGTGCACCAAAGCGATCCACTCCAGTCCTTTACCAGGAGGCTGTCTGATCCAGACCCACACTGAGTTTCTAAAGTCAAACCCAGATGTTGTGCAGGTGAGTTTGTGAGACTCTCCTGGTTGATTGACTGCAGGTTCAGATTCTGTGATGCTCCAACCTTCAGCACCACCTAAAACAAACAGAACAGTCACAAAAAGCATCAGATCTCTGAAAGCCATGTTGACAGTGTTCTTTGTGAGACCCATCAGTTCTTCTAATACAGTTTATTATGTCATCTCATTAGARTTTGTTTAAACAGGCTCCACCCACATCATGTGTCATTAAAGCTAATAAAGAAGAAGTGGCAGACCTGCTACAAGTTCCTGGATATTATTGGCCACACAGAAATAGAAAAAACATTTTTTCTAAAAGCAACAATTAAACACACACACACACACACACACACACACACACACACACACACACACACACACACGCACATCTTTCTATCTTTCTGAGGACCACAGACAGCAGTCACAGCCTCGCTCTGCGCCGTCTTTTGTCCCCAAAGTTTGGCGAGAGGTGGATATGGATGGGTGCAAAAATAGCTCTTGACTTGATCTGGCCTCATTTAAATAAAAATGACCACATCCTGAACACTGTGATGAAAAATTTTCAAGGACTGTAAGGTACAGATTCATTTATGTAAGTATGACATGTTTATATGCTCGATTGAGATGGTTTGGGTGTTTTCGAAAAAGAGTTCATGCGCAAAAGGAGAGATAGAAACATACAGTATTTGCCCAATAAGTTCTGGCATAGCGAACACTTACCTCACAATGTTGATGAGCAGTTCTGGGTACCAGCTTCGGCTTGGTCGTGCCCACGTCTTCTCAGTTATTCCCATAACGTGCAGAGAATCGTATTTGTTTTTGTACGTCTTCAGACAGCATGTAACATCGTCAAAACTAGTTGATAACAGAATGATTGCAACATTCCCWATAGTAGCAACACGTTCCTGAAGTTTTGTCCATTGTGCTGGGATGGGGGAGCTTGCGACTTCTACTTCCTTTTTCCTGCAGACATGCATCTGACRTAATGACACATTGTGAAGTCTGGCTGATTCGCTTGAATTAAAAGAAAAATTCCTGTATCCGTACCGTGATCCAGAACGTTACCAAAATTGAACGGTGTGTTCCTTTGGACAATATCCACAAGTGGTAAAAATGCCTTGACAATCCGTCCACAACTTGTTGAGTAATTTTGTCGACAGACAGACAGACAGACAGACAGACAGACAGACAGACAGACAGACA